GGATCATGCATTACGGAACGAGTAAACTGACTTGCCTGTAACGAGATTGAACGAGGTATTGGGATACCGACGATCGAATCTCGGGCAAGTAACGTACCGATTGACAAAGGGAATTGTATACGAGATTACTTGAATCCTCGACATCGTGGTTCATCCGATGAGATCATCGTGGAACATGTGGGAGCCAACATGGGTATCCAGATCCCGTTGTTGGTTATTGGCCGGAGAGCCGTCTCGGTCATGTCTGCATGATTCCCGAACCCGTAGGGTCTACACACTTAAGGTTCGATGCCGCTAGGGTTATTAGGAAGATTTGTATGTGATTACCGAATGTTGTTCGGAGTCCTGGATGATATCCCTGACGTCACGAGGAGTTCTGGAATGGTCCGGAGGTGAAGATTTATATATGGGAAGTTGTCATACAGTCACTGGAAATGTTCGGGGGCATACCGGTATTTTACCGGGGGCACCGGAGGGGTTCCGAGGGTCCATCGGGAGGGTCCACCTGTCCCGGAGGGCCTCATGGGCTATAGAGGGAAGGGAACCAGCCCCTTGGAGGGCTGGGCGCCACCCCCCTAGGGCCCATGCGCCTAGGGTTGGGGGAACCTTAAAGGGGGGGCTCCCTTGCTTGGGAGGCAAGCCCCCTCCCCCCTTGGCCGCCGCCCCCCCTCTAGATCCCATCTAGAGGGGCCGACCCCCTTCCCCCTTCTCCTATAAATAGAGGGGCGAGGGGAGGGGTGCAGCACCACATCCAAGGCGCGGCCCCTCCCCTCCCCAACACCTCTCCTCCTCCGCAAGAGCTTGGCGAAGCCCTGCCGGAGAACTGTTGCTCCATCACCACCACGCCGTTGTGCTGCTGCTGGAGCCCTCTTCCTTAACCTCTCCCTCCTCCTTGCTGGATCAAGGTGCGGGAGACGTCACCGGGCTGCACGTGTGTTGAACGCGGAGGTGCCGTTGTTCGGCGCTAAGATCGGAATCCACCGCGATCTGAATCGCTATGAGTACGACTCCTTCATCCGTGTTCTTGTAACGCTTCCGTCTCGCGATCTTCAAGGGTACGAAGATGCACTCCCCTCTCTTTCGTTGCTAGTTACTCCATAGATTGATCTTGGTGATGCGTAGAAAAAAAATTAATTTCTGCTACGATCCCCAACAAAGGGTAGAAACATCGGCGGGCGGCTGCGCACGGGGAGAGAGGCAGAGCTCGGCAGCGGCCAGCGGTCAGCTGTGGGCGGGTGTGGCCAGAGGCGTGGGAGGCACTGGTTTATATAGCCCCGCGCCGTGTGTACGCGTGGTGGGAAGAGAGGCGTCGTCGCGTCGCCCGTGATGAGGAATCAATGGCAAGGCTGACCGGCGGCAGCCTTGCCATTGATTCCATGCGGGAAACCGAGGCATTCCGAGGACGACGAGGCGCACATCGCTGACTCGGCGAACCCGCGATTCTTTCGCGCCAAAATCTCTCGCCCCGGCGCCTGGGGGCGCCCCCCAGCGCGCCGGGTTCGGCTTGGGTCCGCCGACGCTAATTTCGGCCCAAGCCGGCGAAAAAGGGGCTCCTAGGGGTGTGACTGGGTCGTTTTTTCGGCGCTGGCGCGAAAAAATCGCCTGGGGGCCGTGTTGGGGCGCGGCTGGAGATGCTCTGAGTCTCTGATCTTGATCGTACACGTTTGCGTGTATGATTAACATACGATTAAATCAGGGGCGTCACACTTCCAAAGGCAATTTTTTAAAACCACAACATTGTTGGGACTTGCTCAAAGGGTGTGACAAGTGGAAGTTGATTGACCGAGAATCCCCACCGAAGAGAGGTTCACTTACAAACATGGATGAAGATGAAGAAGATGATGGCCCACGAAACTTGAACAAGCCCGATGGTGAGAAGAAGACAAAGGAGAAGATCAAGAGGGAACACGAAGCATCGAGTTTGCGGGACAAGATAGATGCCATGGTGCAATTAAATGAGTTGATGTTAGCGAAGACATGACAAAGAAAGAGTTGTCCGAGAAGAAGGCACGGGAGAAACAAGAGAAGTGGCAATTGCTCAAGGATGAGGGGTTGCGCAAGGCGGCCGTTGAGGATAGAAGAGCCTATGCCGCTGAGACCAAAGCCATGGCCAAGCTTCTTGCCAAAGAGAACAAGATCATGACATTGAACCACGATTACATGGACGACATCACCAAAGAATGTCATGATATGGCAAGGAGAGACATCTTGAAGAGGAGGATGCTAGCAGCGGCCGGTGGGTGTTTCGGTGCTGGTGATGTTTTCCCATCAGGAGTTGGAACCAATGCCGCTGATGCATTCAGTGCGCCCGGCGATGCTTTCGGTGCCGGAGTTAGAACAAGTGTCGGCGACGGATTCGGGGCGGCGATGGAATCGCCGGCGATGGTGCGGAGTGAAGATCATGACGACGATTGAAAAGCGACTAAGATGATGATGGACGTGGTCGTCGCTTTTGCATGAAGTCCTTTTGCGCTTTTGCCCGACTATGCTCTTATTTGCGCGTGAACTATGTTTTATTCTTCGAATTTGAACTCAATTTGTCGGAATCGTTGTCAAATTCGCTTATTAGGGGTTTTCGGTTTGCGGACCGATGCAGGCTAAGGCTGAGCAGACCCCGTGTAGCCGACCGTAAAAGAGCATATTCGCACGGGTCGGCTACGCGAGTTTTGCTCGGCTGCAGTCCGCGTCGGCGTCGATCCGCAAAACTGTTTTTCAGCGGATTGTAAAACTTGAGGGTCACATTATATGGGGTGTGCTGGAGATGCTTTTAGGGCATGTACAATGGTTCTATCTTAGCAATGCCACGTAGGATAAATGATAAAGTGGGGGAGAGAGAATTCGTAAGAAAAAGTTTGTCTTCTCTTATTTAAAAGAAGACAAGTGATGATCTTTTAGCACAATATGTCTCAGCACGTTTTTAGGACTAGCTAATTATTGAAGATAAGACTAAGAAATGACCTATTGTAGACATGTTTTTTGTCCTTTTTTAATTACATGCAAAACTTAAGATAATACTATCTTATTAACCATTGTATATGACCATCCCTTTGCGGTAGCGAAGATCCCGAGCAAGCTCCCGGCCCCATCACCGAATATTCTGGCCAAGCCCGGCCGCATCCTCGCCCACGGCGGCAGCGGGCAGCGAGACCCGTCCAAGCTCGCGTCCTCGACCACGGACGGCGGCGACGAAGACCCCTTCCAAATCCGCTTCCCGCACGCGATTCCTGCAGGCCGTTGGGAACTTCAACCCCAACATCCTCGGCTCCCCTCCCTCGATGACGCCAAAGAACGCGTCTCAAGCAGCGCCCGGCGTCTACCCCATTATCAGCTCTTCCCGAAACCTCTCCCCAAGGTACTCTGTCTCTAAGGTTCGTTCCAATCTCACCATTTTATTTGATTGAGATGAGAGAGGGGTCAGGTGGCACGCGGTGGCTGTTCGTGGTTGCGTGCTGCTTATGTACTGTGCAATTTTATTTTTTATTTTTTTGGAGATAGTTGCTGCTCTGTGCTAGAAGGAGGGATGAACAGAGGAGAAACAGGACAGGGCTGGGTGTTGTCTGCACACAGAGATATTGAGATAATTGGTACTATTGTTGTAGAATGTTGTGATGGAAAAAAAAAATCTTCGATCTCTTGCAAATGATGTTGGATTGAATGATTTCTTTCAGTCACAGGAGTCGTCCAATATCGTGCTTCTTATTGGAAAAGAGTCCCTGATTTCGTACATGCCAACAAGAAAGAAGACTAACAGTGGGTTGTTAAGGTGAGGAATTTTTTAGCGTGCATGCTTTGTTCGTCCAGATTGGGTGGTGAGTTTTGGGTATGACAGTGAGGAATGTTTTAGTGTGCATGCTTTGTTCGTCCGGACTGGGTGGTGAGTTTTGTGTATGACAGTGAGGAATGTTTTAGTGTGCATGCTTTGTTCGTCTGGATTTTAGTGGCCACTGTGTCGTCCAGGTTGGGGAGGATGACGGAGTCGGCATGGCTGAAGAGGGTGAAGCAGCTGTTGGGGTTAAGTGTTGCGAGTAATTTTACAGGAGTGAGCTTGCTCAGAAATCTGCGACCGTTGAAACATGAAATACATGCAAAGATGGGGAATAATCAACATGATGCTCTGGTCGAGAGAAGTAGAAATTAATTAAGCTTCAAGAGGCTGAGACGACTCTTGTAGTACTAAGAGGGAAAATTAGTTCTGGAAACACCGATATCTCTGTACTATCTATCTATGTTCAGCAAAGAAATTCATTTTCTTCCTTTCTCATTCCTCTATTTTTTAGCAGACCAAGATGCACAAAAGTGCGGCCTATAATAAACTGAAATAGAAGCAGGTAACTACACTCTAGAGGTATACATGAACAAGAGAAAAGAAGAGAACAATGATCAATGGAGAAATGCACTGCGCTGTTAACTGCTGCCACTATAACACTGAAGTTTTAATTGCAGGACACCCATAAAGAAAGAAAGAAGACTTGTGCTATCAGAAACCAATCGAAAAGGAGAAGGCATAAATGCAGTGGATGGACTTGACATTAAGCTGCTTTGTTAGATATACCAGGACGAAGGTTAAAAATCAGAGGGCCTTAACATCTTGCCATAGTATCTCAAGTCGCACTAGATGAGAATGTTTCATGATGCAAATAACTTGTGTTAGGCATTCTTGTTTTGTGTTCAGTTTTATGCTTTATTCTTCTACTCGCTAGGATATAGTACAATTTTGAATTGTGAGACTAGCATCTAGAATCGATTTTGACCTCTGAAATTTTGTTTAGCAGGCAGCCCCAGCTGCTTTTAGTGCAAATCACCGAGAGCTAAGGGTATATTTGTCCTTGCATCATTGTAATTTTGATGTTTTGCTCTATTATAATTTAATATTGCTTGTTCCATCTTGACACTATTATGTTGTGCCTATATGTGTTTCTTATGCTGTTACGACGGGGTGACAATGTGCCTAATTTGCTGTGTGACATGCAGCGTGATCGGTGGGGGTTGAAAGTGTGGCGATGCCAATGTCAGAGACTGAACTTGTTAGGTTGGTAAGAATTATTTCATATTTCTCTAGCTTTGAGATTGCGGCTTCACTTCTAGTATCATATCAACTATAAATGCATGTGTTGATCATATAATTAATGCGTAAAGATAACTCACAAAAAAATTAATGCGTAAAGATATCTTACACAATATTAATGTGCAATTAACTTCCTCGCTAATATCACATATACACATTTATTGCATTTAATATTGTATATTTATTAATGTGTATATATAAGAAGTGTGTGGCAAGGAAAAAAATGTGGCTTGTCTGGTTCGACCGGATCCAAGATTTTGGACTCCTCGATTAAAAAAAAGAAAGGTTTTACACTCTTCGGCGGCTCGCAAGCGCCTTCTCGGCATCCACTCGCCGGCCGGCCGCCGCCGTATTTTTCTTGGTCGGGCCGGCGCGGTGTCGTGCCGCGCCGTGCTGCCTCCCCAGGATCGCACCGGTGGCCGTGACAGGAAAAGGCAACCGAAAACCAACAAGAGCGGGGGACAGGAAGATATCGGAGGCAGCTGCCCCAACCCTAGGTGAGGCCCGATCGTCTCTCGCTTTGGCTTCGGTCCGTCTTTAGGTAGGTAAAACAGAAATTGGAACAGTGGCAACTTCAATGGCTCATTCCACCTGGATGTATGAAGTGTTTAACCGAGAATCGTAATATGAATCATTTCACTAGTCTATACCAACAATGGGGTGCAAATTATGTTGCGATGTCCAATTAATTAAAGTGGTGCCAATTAACCTTTTCTGGGTGTTCAGCAGAAATGCTTGCCTGATTACTATGAATTGTCATGTGAGATGTGAAATTTCTCATATGGCGTTACTTCCTTAAAACATTTTTTGTGCATCTTTTCAGTACAATAGAATATCATATCAAGAGGAGGAATGCATCCAATTCCGGACTGTCTCCTCTTGCTCCCCTTTCTAGTGTCCCATTTATAATGTGTGGCATGTTAGAGATTTATAGGTTATCTTGTATCACATTACATGCAGGTACTCGCAGTAAAAGTGTACCAAATGGACCATGGGAGTTCCCCAACGAAGATATGTAAGTCTGTTGTGAATGAAGATATCATCAGCACTCTACCTGAAGCTCTCAGAGACAAAATCCTTTGTTGTCTGCCAATAAAAGAAGCTGTTGGAACATGCCTCTTGTCAAGGACTTGGAGGTACACATGGGCTTCAATGACCGAACTGATGTTCAGGAGAGCTGATTTCGCTTCAGGAAATGACAATGCAGACGATGACCGCAGATTTCTTAAGTTCACTGATATGTTTCTCTTCCTCCACAACGGCCCAATTCTGAAGTTTGGCCTGAATACCATAGCGAATGAAATGGTATCCACTGGAGGACACCTTTACCGTTGGATGCTTATGCTGTCAAGAAATAAGATTAAGGAGATTCAACTTCAGACAAGTATACGTGACAGTTACAAGGTCCCGTCTAGTTTTTTCTCCTGCGATGAACTAGAATATGTGTATCTGCGAGCTTGTGTTTTCACTAGTTTACATTTGCCACCTCCATCTAAAGGCTTCAAACAATTGCATACTCTTCGTCTAGAATATGTCACTGTGGAAGGAAATAGTTTAGGGGATTTAGTAGCGAGTTGCCCGAATTTGGAGAAACTTAATATTCGTGGATTGTACAGCAAATCCAATATAAATATTCGTTCAACAAAGCTCAAGGTGCTAAAAATTGAAGGCTGGTTTACACACCTCAATCTGCATGCTCCTTATCTTACTTCCGTATGGATCGGATTGGAACTGAATTCTGACACAGATGGTGCTTCGACAACCAGATGCAACTTCAATCTTTCTCCATTTATTGCTTCTCTTTCAGATGTTGAGACTATTAGGTTTCATGGACACATCCTTGAGGTAAGAAACTGTGATGGCAAAGTTTTCGCTTAGTGCTTATTATTTCACTGTTTCTTATTAAGTTTGGGGGCCTATTGCCATTTCAGTGCGTAGAACATGAATTTCTGATTCTCAAGCAGCCAAAATTATTCAACCGGCTGACAGAGATAAGCCTGGAGATCAATCTCGGTGATCTCAAGGAAGCAAATTTTGCCTTGTGCTTATTTCAGCATGCCCCCAACCTGCGATTTGTCAAACTAAAGGTACAGAAGATGAAATCTTCGACTTGCTACATATCATAAATTTCCATTGGACCGTTGCTCAATTTACAGTCTGTACTTTGCAGCTCATTTCCAGGAATTCCGTGGTACCAACAGTGCATTTCTGGGAATCAATAGACCGTGATGTCTGTCTCTTCCAGAACGTTGAAGTACTTGGTTTGTTCGACTTTACTGGCTCCTCTGCGGAGCTAAGCTTCTTGAAACTTTTACTTGAAGATGCACCAGTGTTAAGAAAAGTGGGAATAATCGACAAGGGATTGCACAGAAATGTCCTAAAATATCTCCTGAAGCTGAGAAGAGCATCAAGGGATGCAGAAATATTGATTCTTTGAGGCTTGCTTCCCCCACTCGAAGAAGGTGCAGACTATGTTTTTCTATTGAAGGGAAAATATTTATATTTCTTCACCTGTTCAGTTACTTACATTAAAGTAGGTTCAGTTTTCATAAGAATCTGTAGAAGAATTGCAGATGTTCAATTTGGAAATAGCAGTACCACCTTCAGACTTGGCATGTCACTTACATTTCCTCTACCATTTTGGGTCATATCTGAAATTTAGTGCTATGGCTTGATCAGTCAATTTCAGTTTCCTTAGTTGTCTTTGAGATAACATGCAAAGGAGAATTCTGAGCATGAACGTGTTTGTAAAAGATGAACATATTGACTAATTGTTTATCTTACACTCCAGTTCAGTATTATGAATACGGTTTTGGTCTTGGGCAGGTCAACTCCGCCACCCTAATGTTTTATCTCTACTCTGTTTCCATGGATAGGATCAAGTCCAATCTCTGAAGGAACAAGTCAAGGCCATTGGGAGGAACGGTATCAAGCTTGTGTTGGGAACCTCTAACGACTCTACTGCTCTCGTTTGGTGCGATCTTGTAAGGCACAAGCTCTGAAGTTTAGGGTGTACAAGCATAAGTTATCCCCATAATTTTTTTTTGAACGAGCTTATCCCCATAATTTGATGTTGAAGTTACCCCGTGTTCCTGTGGAAAACAGTGTTGCCTCAGGAGTTGCTTACTTGTTGTGTCAAAGTTCAGAAATAAAATGTTTGGCAGTTCATATTGATCTGCGAAAACGTCTTACATTTAGTACCAGAGGGTGTACTTTACTAGCTCGCGGTCGTTCTGTTTTCAACTGTTTGCGCCATTTGAGAATGCAGAAATTTCCACCTGACGCACCACTATCTCTTTTTTTGACCGCCTTGGGTCGTACTAGAAGTTCTTCAGTCGGGTGTCATCTGTCAAGTTCAGTTTGTTTACATTGGGTCTGCGGTAATGAGCAAAAGGAGGACCATCTGCTTAACCCGAGATATTTTTTACCTAACCTATTTGACCTGACTATTTTTGCACGCCTTATAACGCGTAGTGAATTATAGCGTGCGCTTTGATCTACTCCCTCCGTCCGAAAATAATTGTCATCAAAATGAATGAAAATGGATGTATCTAGAACTAAAATACATCTAGATACATCTATTTCAATGACAAGTATTTCCGGACGGAGGAAGTACATAAGTTCGACTCATTGACTCCAGTTGTTTGTCTTAAGAGTTCAGAAGGTCAGCTTTGCTAATTGTTGCAGTCAACTTTGCTGCCCTTAAAATAAAACTGTTTTCTCAAGGATAGGATCGAGTCCAGTCTCCAAAGCAACAAGACGAGACTTGGCAACAGTCAGCAAACCGCGGTTGGAACTTGGATGTCCCCACTTCTATGGTTCAGTGTGATCTCGTAAGGCATGAGCTGTAAACCTTAAGCACTACTGTTTGCTACAGAAGTGCAAAGCATTGACAGAATCAAGTTGATTTCTGTACACACAAAAAAACATTATAGTGCCATATTAGAGTTTTTTTTTTTGAGGAAATAGTACCATATTAGCGTTTTTTGGTTGTTGTGATAATTATTTCAACCTGTAGTACTACTTGTTTGTACAGCAGGAAATGTTCCAAGTGGAATGGGCAAAAAAATTTGCATTTCAAGCTGACCAACGCATGATTGGCAAACACTGTATTAATAGTTGGTAAAGGAAGATAGCTTATGGTTATGAGCAGTTGGTTGAGTAGTTAATTGTCATGATGAGTCGTCTTTTTAGAAGCGGTTAGCGAAATCGTGATAAAATAATTCTGCGGGCGCCGGGTCCTGAGACCAAGTGCGTGAAGAAATGACGTGGGTGTGTAGTAGACATTGTCGGCTGCCAGATTGGAAACTAGTCGTTCCAAATTGGAGACAAGACCGAGTAGGTGTCAATCTGCTTGCCCCAGAAAACAATAGTAGATGTCAATTTTATCCTACAGCAACCAGCTGCCCGTGATAGCTCCAGGAAGTACTATCTTCAGCAGTTCAGCTGTTCAGATTGGCATGCGAAAAAATACTGCAGAAATCACTGTCAAAATTCAAGCAAACACTCTAGGTTGTTTGGAACCTTGGGTCAAGAGATGGGGCGTGGGAGGGAGTGAAGCTCATGAGAAATTCAAACCGCGACGAGATAAACATGGCGCTAAATTCGGTGTACTGCCACCGGGGGAAGAAGCTGCTGGGCATGCGAAGCTGTACTGGGCAAGCACTAGCAGCAGTACGCGTGTTCATGACCCTGCCGCCGTTCAGAGCAGTGGCAGCGTCCTCGTGCCTGAGGTCACCGCGCCGCGGTTTCGCGGGTTTGGCCTGGCCCGCGCGCGGGGGCGGAATCGAAAAGAGAGATCGAAAACCGTATCCCCCGCCGCCCGCGTACGCACGAGGCGCGGCACGACTCGCCCGCCCGGCGTCGCAACAAAATTTCCGCTCTTTCCCGCGTGCTTCGCCTCCGCTTTCCGGGCTCTCACGTGGCTGGGCCTGGCCTCCCTGGCCGTGGTCCACTCGTCGCCTCCCTGGCCCCTGCTGCTTCGTCCTCTTTCTGTACGAGTATACTTATTTTTTGTTTATCCTTTGGGCTACGAGCAGGTGAAACACATGCGCTCCCCCCTCTACACGGTTCTGCTGGTACTACTACGACGCATGTGTCCTGATCTGTGCAAGATTACTAACTGATAATCGGCGTTTGTTACACATGCCGCTCTTCGAGTTGGATTACGACATGATGTCGCCGTATGAGCGTAAGTGTGAGCCTTGTGTGGCACTGGATTTTGGTCTGACTTTGCTTCTAGTTTTATGAAAGCGCTCCATAAGAACATGTTTCAATCTTGAAGAAAAGGAAGAGGGAGATGTTTGGTCCATATTCAAATCTTGGTCATATGAGTTTGGGCGTGCGGTTGCAGGAAGAGAGTTCGTGTGCTGCTTTACTTGACTTCACTGCTGGTTAGCTCACTCTGCCGCGAGCCTAGCAACCCATTTAGAGCCTCTTTGATTCACGGGATTTTCAAAACATAGGAATAGAAAAAAGATGTTTGGTCTGACTTTCCTTATAGTTTTATATGAAAGCGCTCAACACGAACATGTTTCCATCTTGAAAAAGGAACAAGGAAATGTTTGGTCCATAGTCAAATCTTGGGCGTGCGGTTGCAGCAAGAGATTTGGTGTGCTACTTTACCCGACTTCACTGCTGGTTAGCTCACACTCTGCCGCGAGTCTACCAACCCATTTATCTGTCACCACAAACGATTTTGCCCTATTTCAAACAAAAAAAAATATTTTGCCCCGTCTCATTAGCTACAAAGGATTCAGATGTAAAAGAAATTTACTCCTTCCACCACATAATGTAAGACGTTTTTTGACGTTAGCGAAAAATCATGTCTGATTAATTAACGAAAAAAATAGGTACAATCACCCACGTGACGGTCACCACACACAAGCATCACCCGACCTGACACAAACTACATGATACAACACTGAGAAGAGAGCATTCGTTAGGGCAACTTTAAGGAGGACCTCTAAACTTCCCGCAACCGTTCAGACCGCAGAAGTCATTCAACGTCGGATGACACGTGCTTGGACAGGATGGAACAGATATCTACCACGCCCGTTCAATGTCGTTCGTCCGTATGCCGTCATTAAGCAAGCTCGTCGGCCGAGAAACCCACTCCAGCACTGTGCATTGACGCACCTAGACGCCTCGCCACACCGGAATCCGCTACATAAAGGCGGCCACGCCCGGCTAACTGCACATCACAATACAAGCCCCGCCACATCCTCCTCCCTTGCACTGCATCCGCCATGGCCGCCAGCGGGAAAGCACTGTGGGTCAGTCTGTAGTCGGAGATGAAACATGCGGTGGCTGCTTTTGCCGCCGCTAGGCATAGCCACCGTTCCAAGCGGATTGAGGCCGGCTTGCCGGCAAGCTCGCCCGAGGTCTGCGACGACGAGAACAACACCATGATCGAGACGGACTCCGACGACTCTACCCCGGCTCCCACGCCTCTTGTGCAGGCTGGCTTCACCATGGAGCAGGCGCATGCGCACTTTAACGCCACCATGACGGAGGTGCAGCCTGCGCCGACGCCTTTGTCAGTGTTCCAGCAGACGCAGGAGGAACAACGATACAACTTGTTCTTCCTCGAGCAGCACCGGCTGGCGGAGGGCCAGATCTACGGCGAGCGTGCGAGCGACGAGGCCGTGGTGAACCCAAATTTCGTCATGAAGCAGCGTGCCATCTACGATGTCGTCTGCGCTCAAGTCGCCGCTCGCCTGGAAGCGGCAGCCGCGGAGGTGCAGCTCCAAGCGATCGCAAAGGAGAATATGCCACCTGCGCCTCCTACGCGCCACCGACGAACCATTAGTCGGCTCGGTGAGACGACAACAGCATCGGTGTCACCATTTTGCTCGTGGACCTCACGTCCACCGATGACGGACAAGGCGTGGACTCCTCTGAGGATGAGTAGACCACAGGAGGCGACGGGGGCCTGGTGTCCCATATGGCCTGGTCCGTCTCCCGTTTTCTACTCTTCCTCGCAGAGACCGTACCTTCACTTCATCGGTCTTATAGTCGCTGCTCATGGAGACGGTGGAAAGGAGGACGACATGGGCTTGGACGCCGGCCACTGCCGCCGTAGGATAGGTTTAGGGGTGGGTCTTTTTTTATTCTAAATGTTTGAAATGTAATTAAATATGTCGTGTGTTTATGAAATTCGTCAGCTTTGTATGAAATCCGGACGTGTTTGCATGAATTTCATCCGTTTTGCTGAAAAGGAGTGAAAGTGCTAGTTATCGACTAGAGGGGGGTGAATAGGCGATTTTTATGAAAGTCTTCAAAACACGAGGGCTTTGAAGACAAATATGTAATCAGAACCTATATGATATGCAGCGGAATGTAAACTACACTAGGCAAGCAATAGTCAAGCAAGCAGTTCAGTGAAAGCACGAAGACTAACAATGGCTAGGTAGACAAGATTAGAATGGAAGACAG